TCGTCGACTTGGAAGGGTCATAGCACTTATAACCTTTTGTGTGGAGGAATAGCCAATAAAAATCCACCTTTTTCTCGAGGTTCTAATTTAGATTTGTGATGTTTATGGTTATGTAAGAAAGCAACACACCCGAACACTTTTGAGCAAAGACTCGATTAGAAATAACATCCGGGAAGTGTTTGGATAATAGGTTGATAAGATCTGCGATTTTCTAAGATTTTAGAAGGCATAAGATTTGGGATAAGTTGTAGTTAGAACTCGCTTCCCTCAATAGAAATTTAGGAGCATTGGATTGAAATAGAAGAGCACGAGTGACTTCTAAGAGGTGACGATTTTTTCTTTTGGCAACCCCATTCCGTTGGGGTGTTTTGACACATGAGGATTCATGAATAATACCCTCCCTTTTAAAGAAGGAAGAAAGACATTGATTGAAATAGTCTTTAGCATTATCTAATTGAAACCTTTTTATTTTTGTGCCAAATTAAGTGAAAATCATTTTTTGAAATTGGGGAAGTAATGAGCTAACTTCGATTTGTCCTTTAGTAAAAACAACCAGGTAGTACGAGTGCAATCATCGATAAAAGTTATGAACCATCTTGCCCCATGAATATCATGAATTTTTGAAGGCCCTCATATATCGGAATGTATCAAAGAAAAAGGTTGGCTGCATTTTATTGATTTTATTAAAAATGAAGTACGATAATATTTCGTAAATTGATAAACTTCACACTAAAAATCCAAAATAACTACATCTCTAAACAAAGAAGGAAACATCTGTTTTAGCAAAGAAAAGGTGGATGACCTAGTCGAAGGTGGTGCCTAGATTGTATTCTTGGTTGATGTAGTTAAAAGGACTTGAGATGGGATGGATTGATTTTCCTTTATTTGATCACCTCCTAGGTCCTCAAGGTAGTACAACCCATCACGCTCTTTAGCAAATCCAATCGTCTTCCCCGAGGTTCGATCCCGAAAAACATAATGAGAATCAAAAAAGGTTATTTTGCAATGGAGCTCTTTAGTGATTTTATGAATAGAGATAAAATTGGTGGAAAGTTTTGGGATATGAAGGACATGTTTAAGGGTACTAAAGGGTTAAGATATAGGTTGTCTTGTCTAGCAATTTTAGTAGGGGAAACCATCGACTACAATGATGTTTTGATTTCCTAGAGTGGGTTTATATGAATCAAAGAGTGTGACATTGTAAGTCATATGGTTGGTTGCCCCTAAATCTACAATCCATCTCCGAAATTGTTTAGTATTTGATGCATTAGAAGAATTAGTCATAAGAAACATATCAATTTTGGCAAGAGAACAAGAACTCGATTTGTCGAGTGAGTCAAGGAGACATCTCAATCTTCCTATATCTTCTTTGTTGAACTATGTGAAATCTTTCTTATTTGGTTTTGTAGCTTCGAGTCATTGTCTCCTCTTTATTTGCTATGTTAGCTTGACTTTGTGCTTGGCCTTTGAAACCTCCGAGTTCGTGCCAAAACTTATGCCTTGCCATGTAACTTAAAATAGCTCTCATGTGTGTGACGTGGTTTGTTATAGTAAGTACACCATAATCCATCCTTATTGGATGATTTTTTTGATTCGATGAGGTCGTGGATTATCATTCCCCTTATTTCCTCCTCCGAGTCTGCGAGACACCATTCGCTGAAGCCTCTTGTGAACAAGGTTCCAACATGACACCTCGACGGCTTTCTTTAGCACGAACAATTGAGAAAATCTCACGAAGAGTTGGTATTGGGTCGTTACCAAGAATCCGAACTTTGATATGATCGTATTCCGTATTTAATCCCGATAGAAATTCAAATACTCGATCATGCTCGAGAAATTCTTGCATGACACTAATGTCATGGCTGCACTTCAATCGCGAGTCACGATTGTGATCAATTTCCAACCATAATCCTATCATCCGATTATAATAATCGATAATGGACATATTCCCTTACCTAGTATGCCCAACTCGAATCTTCAATTTGCAAATCCAAGCGAGCATCCTTCTTTTTGGAGTAAGTTTGTCGTAGATTCTCCCATATGGCCTTTGCTATGGTAAGGAACATTAGATTCCGACTAATCTCTAGTTTCATTGAATTCCATAACCATGACATGATCATGGAGTCTTCCTCGTCCCATGCTCTAAATCCTGGATCCTTCAAAGATGGGTTGGCATCGGTGAGATGACCTATCTTTCCACGCGCCTTAAGAAACGTACGAACCACCTAACTCCATTGTAGATAGTTTGTTCCATCAAAGTGATAAAATAGGTTCATATTCTAGAAATCATTCCCAGTTCCTACCGTATTGACGAGTTGTTGATGTGACCTCAAATTCGTCAATAACAACCAGAGTGGAAGGAGTAGAAGAAGATGACATACTTTCGAAGAAAAAATAAAAGTAGTATCGACGAATGAAGGTCGAGAGAGGAAAAAAATTTTTTTGTGACAACAATGAAGGCTATCGGTATCAACAAAGAGGGTCGGTTCGTCGGCGACTACGATTCTTGGCAATGAAGGCTTGAAAAATTCCTTAGGTTTCGACCTAGTGCTCGATACCATGAAGATTTTCTAATAAGCTTTTTTTTTTCACAAAAATAATTACATCGGTATTTAAAGGAGAATCCAAACCCTAAGACCCATATAAAATAGGAAACTAACTAATAAAATAGGAAGCTAACTAATAAGGGAAAAACTCCTAAAATTAAGGTCCTAAAAATATACAATCCGGTGTAATCAACAACAATGATAATAATAATACTAATAAAAACCATCATCAAATTGGTCATTATCCGTATAATTTAAAAAATTTGAATTTAAATAAGAGATTTAATGATAAATATTACTCTCAAACTATTAAATTATTGTAATTTAAGGCCCATACTATTCATATGGGCTATGTAATAAATACATAAATAAATAATAATAAGTACAATTATCGAATTGGTCATTTTCTTTATAATTTCAAAATTTTGAGTATATATAAGATATTTAATGACAAAAAATACCTCTTAAAGTCCACACTATTAATTTGACATATGTAGATAGCAAACTATTATTATTATTTTTTTTAAAAAAAATGTTATCTTTCTTTTATTATCTCTAATGATCGAAACATTAATCGTTGACCGTTAAACAAAATTTACCTCTAAACTATTATAGTTGTGGCAAAAAAAGATTTCTACTATCAATATAGACTATTTGAACACTCAACTATTAATTTTTTTTAGCAAATTTTATCCTTCTCTATTGTTTCGATAGTTAAAGTATTGACCGATTAGTCGAAATACTTAAAATGACGTCATTTTGGGTATGAAGATTTTTTTTAGAATTAAAATTTATTTTTTAGAAAATTAATAATTCAATTTTTTTTTAACTAGATGGATTTATTGCACATTATTAATTATCTAACCAAAAAAAAAAAAAAGATCCATAAAAAAAATCATCTAAATTACCTTAAAGCTAATTATTATTAAATATTTTTTAAATTAATTAATTCTCAAGAAAATTAATGATTCAATTTTTTTTCTTTTTACTAGATGGATCCATTACACATCATTAATTGTCTAACAATAATATAAATTTTATTTACCATTGCTCCAATAGTTTGAAGATAAATTATGTTATTAAATTATATTTCGGTTAATGATCAATGTTTTGATTGCCACGAGTAATGCAGAAATGATAACATTTGTCTAAATAATAATAATTAATATTCAAATAGTCCAAATTCATCGTATATGTTTTAAATTGTCATAATTCAATCGTTGAAAGATAATTTTAGTGTCACGTGTCTATTTAAAGAATATGTTAATAATTTTTAAGGAAAAGATAATAAATAAATAAATAAATAAAGCAATTAGACCTTTCAATAGGAAAAAAAAAAGAGTACAATTATTCAAATAGAAAAATTGTTCCGGTACAACTACTAATTTTGCAATTAACTCATCGATGTTGATACTTACAAATTTTTCGATAATGGATTCCTTAGTGAGATTTTTAAAGCTTAGAGTAATTATCCATGTCTAATCCGATATAAAATTGCTTGAAAATTGTTGTCATAGGTATATGTTGAAATGCTTCCCCTTATGTGGTCTTACATTGCCAAAAATTGACGCACCCATCATATAACTTGTTCTTTCTTTTTAAGAACGGAAAACTTGTTCTATATTGAACGTCACCATTGCCTATAGATTATATTCATATATATATATATATATATTTTATAACTCGGGATGTTTGAGTCGGCTTGCATGCACCTCAATTAATCCCCGGACCTACTAAACATCTTGCAAGCCTAATGAGCGGGTAAGGCACTCGTGGGGGTGACAGGCGTACGCGAGAGAATCGAATCCGGATGTCATAGATGAGTGACTCTCAACCTCACCACTAGACCGTGACCTCAAGCACGATTGTCATTATAGATGTCAGCTGTTGAAAACCTTCCATCCATTTTTTTTTTCAATATAAAGTTAAATAATGATAAAATGAGAAGAAAACACATGGTTTATGTAGGTTTGAGAAGAAGCCATAGAACATTCTATTTAATGAATTGATACTATTATTAGAATGTATGTCTTATTATAAAAAGTATAAATAAAATTTATTCTATCTATTAAAAACGAGAAACCCTAACAATATTGTCTGAAAAGAACGCTTATTTTGGTTGGAACTTGGAAAATTTACCTTTCAAAGCAGAACTTAAAAGTTTCAAAAAGAAGATCTGGGGTTTGGTTCGGTTTTTCGGTTTGAACCAACTATTGCTGACCGTGAGACTTGGTAGCAAAGCTGGGAGCTTCTGCTAGTGGTAAATTGGTTATGAAGCTATTTACTCTTCTCTCCCAGAAGAAACGACAAAAAGGAAAGAGGAAAATTAACTCTCCGTAATCGATCACACATTTTCTATGCATGCATACACTTTAACAGGACAGGTGAACCGGCTTTGTTAATACCAATCCCGAGTTTCTTGATCTCCTTGACGGTAAACGAGAGCTGGAGAAAATGGAAGCAGAGCCATCAACAACAACCAGGATTACGGATTTGAACGAGGACTCGCTGGCTCACTGTGCCACTTACTTAACCCTTCAGGACCTCTCCAATTTAGCCATGACCTGCAGATCCCTCAAACGCGTCGCATATTCCGATTCCATCTGGCAACACTGCTTCAGGTTTCAAAAACCCATTTCCCTTTTTGTCTTTTTATTTATTCTAATTCAATTAATGGATATTTTTATAGTTTTTGTGCATTTGAACGGATTTTTGTGTATAGGGAGCACTGGCCACAAGAAGTGTCACAAACTTCAGCGCTGAGAGAAGCATATATAAAACGACGTGTTGCAGTTCAGCAGTTCAAGTTTGTTGATCCTTTGGTTGCTGACTTCTGTATTACAGATGCTAAACCTTTTGATCATATCATTTTGGACAAGAATGATATTACCGTTTCCCAGGTAATTAACCAATCTACTTTTATTTTTATTTTTTTTCATAAAATTTATTGTGTTGTAAACTTTTCTGGGTTGTTTAGGGCTCCTTGATACAAATGACAAATATTGATAGCTATTTGAATGGAAGAGACGGTGTTACCGTGTTAAGGGATCATAATGCAAGAGTTACTTGTATGAGGTGAGAATATCTGATGGGTTTTGTTTTTCCATTACTAAACTTCTCTGAGTTAGGTTCAACTTTTTTATGCTTATGTCTCAGGAATTGCTTTAACTTTTAAGCTAGAATCTGGATTGGATGGGCTGAATTGTTTATTTGGATCGATTGGTGCAGATAATAGTTGTATGTTATATGGATTTTAGTTTGTGGATGTAAATAGAGTGAGTTTATATGGATGGCTGGAATGTTTACTTGGGAAGATTGTTGTTATGCTATCATTCATTTTAACAGGTCTGGAAAATGATATGTGCAGATTGTTTCCCCTTAGTGAAACTTCTCTCTTTCGAAGGGAGAGACAAAGGAAGGAAAATGTTTTGGTAACCTCAAGTTGCGATCATTCTATTCGTCTCTGGTGGAAGGTATTACATGAATTATTGATGTTGCTGCTTTTTCATCAAAATGTGACTATCAGATTTGTTGCTCCCTAGTTGCCAAATGCTTACTAGGTGATACTGGTCTTCAACAGCTCTGAAACTTTAGGACAACATATATTGTCAGTGGTTCCTGTTCTATGTTGGTTTTTAAGTTTATCTTGGCAAACAAAGGGATTGTTTGTTAATTTTATATGTAATTAATTTGTAAGTCTTGTGCTATTTTGTAGGGTTCTTGCCAACGATGTTTTAGAGGTCATAATGGCCCTGTTTCGACCTTGTCAGATAAATTGTTAGGTGACGGTAATGCCAAATTACTGGCAAGTGGTGGGGAGGATGGCACAGTTCGTCTTTGGTCTCTTAGTTCAAGTGGAAAGCATGGCCAACATGCTTTAAAGGCTACACTTTACGGGCATGAGAAGCCTATTAAATTGATGTCAGTTGCCGGGTATGAGTTGGTTTCTTAATATAGTAACTAATTTTTTTTTTTTTTTTTTTTTCCGTGAAAACTAGAATAAATTTAAGTTTTAGCCTTTTATCGTTTTCACTAATATATTTGAAGTTGTTTGGTCTTGTTAACTTGCTATTATGAAGATGGGAAGGCACAAATTTGTAAATCTTGTTTTCTCTCTGTTTTACTTTTTTAGTTCTTTCATGTCACTGCATAATATTGAGATTACCATGCATTTAGAAGAAGAGGCCAGGGGGTGCATTTTCCCAAGTGAATTTAATTTTGACCATTGCTGTATTCATGGTTGATTTTCTTTAGTAAAAAGGGATAGCTTCTGTGAAAAAAATGATTAGAATGGTTTGAGGTTCTAGTTTTGACCAAATATAACTTTTGATAGTTTATTTTCTCAGTGACAGAATAGCGGTCTTGATTTCGTAGCTCACACAAATTTAACGTACGAAAATTATCTGTTCCATAACTGAAAGGAGAAGATGATAGATTACATGGTTTAGTGGTCTTGTGATTTGTTTTGGAAACAGAAAAGCATAACATATGGTTTAGCAATGAGTAGTCCATCCAAAGTGGTCGGAAGCTTTTGGCATACATTACTCATTGCATATCTCTATTTGAAATGGGTTAGTGCTTCATGTGGCGCCTAACATCTTATAGCCATCTGGAGTGTTTGTTCCTTGAGGTTTATATTCTCCCATAATGACACTAATCCATATTTCCTTCAGGCACAGAACTTCTCTTTTGGCAACTGTCTCAAATGATTCCAAGGTACCCTTTTTCATCTTTCCAGTGCAACCTTTGCTATAAAGCATAACAATTATCTGAATTGTAATTTGATCTGTCTAGAATGCATAGACAAGTATTTTTATTTAATTTATTTGTGCTTTTTTATCATGTTTAAACTTCCCAAAGTGTGATATTTAGTCTATGCTCAAATGTTGCTTTTTCAGCACTATGAGAGTCATAAGTAAGCTTGAATTTTGTTTGATTCAAAATTTGAGAAACAGTTTCTTTTTTAGTTATAGGACTGTGGTCTTGAGTAGAGGTTATTCTGTTTGTGATACATAGGTCAGAGAAATCACTTCATGATTTCAGTGGAACTTGAGAAATTGATGCAAGAACTGCAGTTCTAAAAATTGATGCAACAAAGTGTATAAGAGGTGCTGAAGGTGTTATGTCTGACACCGTTGACGTTTTGAACGCAATCACCAGTTGCAAAAATAAACCTGTTCATTGCCAAGACGTTGGCTCATGTAGCCCATTTCTTTCAAATTGGTGTGGCCAAATAGAAATTATAGTGAAAGAAGATGAGAGATAAAACTGATATAAATACAAGGCGAGTTTTGTATATTGATGGCAAGTGGTGTAGCAATGTTTAATTTTACTTGAGGGAATTCTGTGATTGCTTGGTGAAATAAAGGAAAGCAGTGATAGAACCTGAAGCCAGTGATGGACTGAAAAGGGGGCACGTTACTGCAAAGACAAAAGAGAATTGGCCAAACCTCAAATTAGCCCCTAATGTATCCAGTTCTAGATTTTATCCCGAACCAAAAATTTTACCAATTGGGTCCATGATATTTTGGACTTTTATCAACTGGGTGCTTCTGTCCATGTCAGTTAATATGTTCCGTCAAATGTTCTCAAACCAGATTACAGTAGATGGAAAATCAAAATATTAACATATATGGACAAGAGGACCTGGTTGAGTAATGTCTGATACATCAGGGTCCCAATTGGAAAGATTTTTCTTTTGGGATGAAAATGAGAATTGGGTAATAGGTCAAGGACACAATATAGGTTCCCCATAGAAAATTTGCTTACTCTAAAACCCTTGCAAAACAATATGAAAATATATATGCGTATTGACCCTCTCAAAACTATATTTTTGTTCCCAAAATACTAGTGTGTGTGCTGGGCCATGTATAAAGCGGATACAAATTGCTAGAAGTGTCATAAAGAATGCAACAATTGTGTTCTAATTCAGTGCTGTTAAATCTATTATTGTTTGTGGCTTTATGGTTTTCAACTTATTCACAAGTGGACAAAATGTAATAATCTTGCTGAATTCTGTAGTGCTTATTGATGTCTGTTTCATTTAAAGCTTTATGGTCAAACTGATGCATGCTTCTGGTGAAATGAAGATCTTCTTTACATGGGATTTTGTTCTTGTAGGACAAGCAGTTATGTAATATATTGTGGGATCCTGGAACTTGTGGCAGTTCATAGTTTCTAAATATTTATTTTTGGTGTATCCTCCGACATCAATAACAATCAGGCTTGCCCTGTTATTAATCTTCTACATGGTACGATTAGTGCATGGACTGGTGACCAACATTGATCTCCAGGTCACCTAAAACATATGATGGTTTATCCTGGGAAATGTTTCATGTTTCAACTTGGTAGAAGATGGTCCAATCCAAAATTTAAGTATTGTCTTTGATTGTTCTACTGTTTTGTTTTCTGGACTTTGTTTGATGTTTTCAGCGCTCCTAATAGGTTAGGGTTTGGGATACCACAACATCATCTGCTGTTCGTTCTTCATGCTGTGTTGGAATGACTTCTGTGCCTGGTGCACCCATTGATATGAAGTGCCATGAATCATTGTTATATGTTGCTGCTGGTTCCTCTGTTGTAGCAATTGATTTGAGGACCATGCAAAAAGTTATTACCACGGCAATCTACCAGCCAAAGCTGTGTTCATTTGCCATTTCGCCTTTAAAGCCCTTGATCTGCACTGGTGGAATTGACAAGTAAGGCATTTTACTGAAAGCATTCTTTTAGTTTTTATAAGTTTGTTTACAGTTCATTGTCATTACTCACTTAGATGGCAGTGCTTTAACAAACTACAAGAATCAGTACCATTTACACCACTGTATTAATTCATTTTTCTTTGAATGGCCTAGTTTTCAGCATCCAAATTTGTCACTTTTCTGTTTCTTTTGTACCCAATATGAGATTCTTATATAGTTTGTCACTTTTTTATTATGGGGCAGTCAGTCCTTGCAATACAATAATCAAATGCTATGCTATGTCGTGAATATATACTTCAGCTGAGGAAAACATTTAAATACTGCAGAGCCATGCTATGGGATATAAGGATAAACCAGAAGACTCTGAAACCTGAACCAGTGGCTGAGTTAGATGGACACACCGGTCCAGTGACACTGTTACATATGGATCCATACAAAATAGTTACAGGAGGGCCGGAGGATTCTTACATTAATGTTTGGGAGGCTGACACCAGTACACAAACAAATTCCTTTATTTGCTGTCCTTCTGAGGGTGCAAGTACCAGCTCGGGCTTGGGGTGTTCAGCCATGGCTGTGAATGGGACGCGGATTGTCACTGCTAGCTATGGTGAAGAACATGGACTGTTATGCTTTAGGGACTTCTTCAATGCCACTTGTCCTGTTTCGAAATCTGAAGATGTGCACGCTTCCAAGTTTTGGGATTCACAGTCTCACAGTGATGGGGATACAGATAGCTAGATAGCTGGATGGATTGTATATATTGATTTTTGATTTTCATGTCCTGGGATTTCAGCCATGCCTTTGTGAATCACAACTCCGTTGAATTTGAGTTAATGTACTCGAAGAGAGGCCTCCACCCGATGGCCCTGTGAGATCTTTTTTTTTTTTTTTTTTTTTTTTTTTTTTTTACTTCTGCTGTAGTTATAACTCAAAATTGCCGGCCATTTATTTCATGTGTATTCGTCGTTTAAAAATGTAAATGGAAAAATACGTTTAACAAATCGTTTACTCTTTTCTACAGCAAATTCCCTCTTTATATTCACCGTTACTTACTAACTAGCTAGTAGGCGTTTTTATTCGATAGCTTAAACATAACGTAGTCAAGTAACTGATGGATAAACACTCACTGCATCTCCTCTCATTCTTTAACGTGAAAAATTATTGTGTAGTTTTGCTGCCTTTCACTAGTACGAGTATTGCCATTGGGCCAATCACTGTCTTGATCTGTGATATTTCTCCAGCATTTGACAATCTAGTCAACTTCATCCCTTTTCCTTGGCTTTCCTAGATATTTCTGCCATTACATCATCCACCTCAGCTGATATTTTCCCATGTCGTGTGTCATATCCATCCTCCTATTTCTATATCTTCATGGCTTTATTATACCAGCATGAATTTATCTGATAAATTCTACAACAAAAAATCAATTATCCAAATGAGCACGGTGCAAACTTAATACTAATAACTCAAAAATTCCCAGCCCAGTTTTAGTAAGTAAAGGGACCAATGGAAGGTGAAAAGGTTACAGAATCCTTCAATGAATGGGAACAAATCCAGTGCCCAACAAGCCAATCAAGAGAATGGGAAATGGTTGCTTTTGGAGACAATAAGAACCATATTCAGGTTGACCTCTCCATCTTCCCTCCAAGCAACCACGAAGGCCTTCAAATCCCACAACCACCACCAGAATCACAAACTACTCCTGGCCAACCAAGTTCAAGTGCTGTGTGCAATGTGAAAGCTGAGGAAATAGCAGGGGCTGACTCCAGGCCAAAAGCGGTGCGAAATGGAATCGGGAAGCTTTTGAGGTCTGGGGGATTTTGGATAGCTAGCAGAGTTCGTTATTATGTGATGTACAGAGTTGGATTTTGCTCATTTGCCTCGCTTACTGTGTTGGTAGCAGCAGTCTTGCTATTCTCCAGGTTGCAAAGGCGGCGTAAATGGCTCCGGGAACAGAGGAAGGACCGTCTCATCCATCTTATCAACGAGAAAGACCAGGTTCCTTGCAAATTCAATCACTTTCTCCTTACTTTTTTCCTGAAATTGTAGATATACTGGATGCCAATTTGCATTAGTTTGGAAACAGGATATCACTTTTTTCCTGAAATTGTAGATATACTGGATGCCAATTTGCATTAGTTTGGAAACAGGATATCCAAATCTTGAGGCTTTGTTGGTCTGATTCAGTGCCATTAAGAATAAAGAATAATGCATGAGACTTGTCGGGTTAGACCTACTTTTTGGGTTGTACGCCATCTCAGTGGCAAGTGGTGACAGTAAGGAAACCAAGGAATTGGATGTTAGAGTTCATTAGTGAATAGCTAATTCATAGGTAATGTTTTTATTAGTTCAGCCATTGGCTATTCCTCTTAGACAAGATTTTTGGCTGTGCAACCAAGTCATAGCTAGGCAAGTAACTAAGAACACATTGTGGTGTGTAGCTGTGCTTGCCGTACCTGTACTTGCATCCTTCTTACATATGATTGATTGTGGATATTTGCAATTGCGTATCTGTTGTGTAATTCAGTCTATTTTGTCAATGATTCTTCTGCAGACTATTGGCCAGCTCTTGCTCCAAATTGCACAATTGAAAGAAATGCTATTAGGCCGTCGCAAGGTTGCAGTCATCCGGGTTGGTTGATTGATATTACATGAAAGCTGATGTTAGTTCAGAGCTTCTCCTCCAGCAGCTTACGGAATTACATGAGAGAGATAAAATAGTGATACATATATGTACCGGTAGAAGCTTGAGTATTAAATTGCTGAGTGGACTAGTTTCAATAAGTTCTCTGAGTTGGATATACGTATTCATGCTTTTTTTCCTCAAGTCATTTTTAATTTGCTAGGTTCTTGGCCATATGCGAACCAGTTTCAAATTTTACCTATTGGGTCTAATCCTTTTTTAAGATCACTTGTTCGTACCAAGAAAAGGATATCATCTGAACTCAGTAATTTCAGATGACAAATTAATCCCAACAAAATTTCGTGCCTTCCATATAGCCCAGCAAATTAAGTCCGAGAAAGAAATTAGAATATGCTGTAAAACTTTATTTAAACCAATCAAGAAAGCTCAAGTTTGGATCTTTTGCGGACCGAGTGGCGAAAGGGCTGACTGTCAATAGGTCTTTAGCCACAGCACACTCCATCATCAAATGTGTGATGTCTTCTACATCACAGCCATGGACACCGAGAACAAGAGAAAGGTTCGTGAGTTTTGCCTACCAATCTTAACTAGGCATGTGCCTGTCCGTTGGATGGGTTAAATAGGTTTGGTTTATGTAATATGCATTAATTTATCATGGCATAATATAATGATAATGAAAGTGTAACTCTCAAATGTTAATCATATGCGTTTGACAATAACAATTTTTTTTTTCAAAAAAAAATCTATAGAAAAGTACATATGATGTTTTTAGAGAAAATATATAAGTAGATAGCTTATAAGGTAGAGTTGCAAGACACATAGATAGATAGATAGCTTGCAATAAATTATAAAAAAGAAAAATACAAGAGAGAGAAGAAAAATTGAGAAATTAGGCTCAAAGAAAAGTGAATATAGTATTTTTAAAAAATTTATGGATTAAATAATAAAAATTACCTATGTAATTCTGATCTTACCTCCTCAAAATATAGCGAAAGTAGTGGATCCCGCACCAATTCATCCTGCATTTATAAAAATTCAAATATTTTCAAATAACTTTGTTTTCACTTGATAACCTAAGGTTTCAACACAAAAAGTCTATGATACATGACATAATAAAGATACCGGCACTTCTTTTGTCTATTGATAATAAGGCCTAACATATGACATGGCATAAGTGCCCAGCAAATTATGATAGTAAGATAATGAGAAATTTTAATTTATTTTATAAGTAATTAATATTTACTCCACAGAAGAGAATATATATATATATATATATATATATAAAGAGAGAGAGAGAGAGCAAGGGAATTAAAAAAAAAAACTTAAGTAGAAATATTTTTATCAATTTTAGTATATTTTGATGTGAATTTTTTTTGTCTATTTCTTTAAAGTGAATTCATAAAATCGATATTGCTAATTACTTATACTTTAAATTTCTCATAGACAATGGATAAACCACATGATATTAGACATGCATGATTTTATTTTATCCATAAAAAAAAAAAAAAAAAAAAAAAAAAAAAAAAACGAAACTCTTGACTTTGTTTTTTGTTCGTTTGGATGGTATAATCTATTAGTAATTTAATAATTTACTACATATTTTTATTACACATATGTATAGAAAAAATATTTTTTTTAAAAAAAAAACCTACTCGAGAGGGCCTCTATCCTAAAATAAAATAAATAATAAGAGCTTTTCTCAAGGATCCTCTCGCTATAAGAATATTGGTCTTATTCATTTTTTTTTATGCTATTTTGGTAATTTCACTAATGGGTTATTTTGAGCCGACCTTACTTAACTATTAAAATCTTGGCATAAAACTCGAGTTGTGCTTTAAATGTACGTAGTCCTAAGTCATATATGTTAAATTACTTTTTTACCCTTAACTTTTCACATTGAGGTTGAAAAAAAAACACCGATTACATTATATAAAAGCAACATATTGAGTTTGGGAACCATCTTTTTACCCTTCATTGGATCAAATGGCATTCTTACTTTTCCAATTTGCTCTAATTTTTAGGGGCTTTGGTTTTTATACTCTTTTGTGTTTTTTTTTTTTTTTTAGCTTGATGGTTTTAAGTTATTTGAGTTACAAAATAATAATAATAATTGAAATTATGAATGACTGTAAACACGCATTTGTTGTAGATGTGTTGAAATATATAGGATGACATGTTTGTGATTATATAACAATTGAAGGTTAGTTAGTAGAATTAGTTTTTTAAGTTGTTGTTGGATTAGTTAGAAGTTAGAGAGAGTTAGTTAGCAACTAATGTTAGTATAAAAGCTCTCTCTCTCATTGGAAAAAGTAACAAGAACATATTGCATTATTTTGGGATTTTTGAGCTTTGAATCAATGCGAGCACTTTACCCTAATTCCTCTTCTTCTTGTTCTTTTCTTTTCCTACAACTATTGGAATCGATTTTCTACATGATATCAAAGCAAATCGATCATTGATAAGAAATTCCCCTTTTGTGATTCTACAATGTGATTATGGTGAATGAGAATAAGAATGGTGATATCTCGAAGACTTCTAGTGATAGCTTTTAATCCTTTGTAGTTGATAAGCTCGGACGTACCCCGAATGGTTCTTATGAGTTAGCCTTTGATAGGAGCTTCAAATTACATTCCATGGCATAGGTATATAGAAATTACTCTTGCTTGCAAGAACAAGATTAGATTTGTCAATGGTGCTATTTCAAAACCAAGAAAAAGAGATCCAAATCTTTCACATTGGGAACAAGTCAACAATATCGTGATTTCTTGGTTGCTTAGTGTGGTTTTTAAAGAAATTTATTTTATACTCCATGGCAAGATCTTGTAGCGATTATGTGGTCAAATTTGCGAAAACGCATCTCGAACATTGTTAGTTCTATGGTTTATGGTATGCGAAAGGCGATTTCTTCCTATAATCAAGAAAATATGAACATTGAGATGTATTACACCAAACTCAAGCAACTATGGGATGAATTGGAAGCCATGACTCATATTCCAATATGTAAAGCAAATGTTTATTGTGAAGTAGTGAAGGCATAGGAAGAACAAAAGGATGAATAGAAGTTAATGCGAGTTTTTGATGGGATCGAAGGATAGTTTTAAACTTGTTAAAGCTCAAATTTTGCTAATGAAGCCCTTACCATGTGTGGAAAATGCCTATTTTATGGTTCAACAGGAGGAAAAACAAATAGAGGTTTTATAGTTTATGCCTATGGAGGATCTAACCACTCGCTCTCATGATTAGGAATAACATGAGTCAAAATCAAGGATATCAAAGGAGTCAAGTGTGGAAAACAAATATCGGGAAGAATTTATAGTATGAACATTATCAAATGTCGGGACATGTGAAGGCTAAATGTTTCTAGCTCCATGGATATCCACCTAATTTCAAACTCGGAGAGGAGGAGGAATACGATAAATGTTCAAGTAAATTCAAAGAAGGTTCCAAGTCACAATGTTGAATATGGTTAATAGATGAATCTTGGTAATATGCCTAACAACTTGCTTCGAAAGGGTCAAACATTAGATATGTCAATGCTAAAAGTAGTCCAATGTCTCAATACACCAATGCCGGTGTTACTCTCCAACTTAATGTTAGTGTAGGTGCCTAAGATCCAATCCTGTTTGGATGAGCTTGAGTTAATGTATTATTGCATTATTTATTTTAATAATAATAAAGAATTTATTCTATTAATTCTTGTGTTTTATGTTTGTAAATTCAGTGAAATTAGATAGAAGTTCTTATGATATGCATTTGCAATAGTGATTGATCGAAAGATGTGAGATAAAAACTAATGCATATAAATGATATCATTAAAACGTCCCAAGTCGTAACATTATGAAGAATTGACATTAACTATATATGGATAGACTTGTAAGTGCTATGCTCATGCTATATGATAGTAGTAGGAGATCTCACATCTATTGGCATGGTGATGCTAAAGCAAGCACTTAAGTGATGTATGTTAGAGAACATACCACTAGATTTGACTCACCATGAGAACCTATTTAGTTTTGGTATATGAGAATCTCATATGAGATGGGTACAAATGGTCCTTGGACTTGAAGTCATCACGGTTGTCTCATTAGAGGACTTATACACTTTGACACTCGTTTCGATGGATCCTTTAAAAGGTTGCATATGGGCGATTCATTATATGCACTAGAAATCTAACGAGACAATGTATGATTAAGATAGGACATGTCATTCCTTGTATGCTAAAGGAATTATCACATTGCACTTCGATAAATATCCGTTCGAGAAATTTATGGCCACGGTAGGAATACACCAATAGAGCATAGTTGGTTTACTCTAAGAGCTAAGACATTTGAGAATCGAAGAAAACTTGTGTGATCATAATCGAATAAAACTTATAACTAAGTTTGAGATCACACTCGTGATAAGTTGACATGAAGAATTAATTGCATGATAACCATGCTCATGAAAGATAATAATGGATTAATTAATCCTCCTAAAAAATTAGATAGTCATAATGCCTTGCTAGAGGTCAATCTTGATGTATGTATCAAGAGATAAAAGAGGAGTCTTTTATTCTTGATACATTGTCAATACATCTAAGAGTCTATTGAGTCATACACATAAGTTTAAGTACTCACATTATAAATGAGAAGAAAAAATATTATGAAAGTTTCTGTTTTGGAAAGGGTTTCCAAAATAGAAAGTTTCCTTAATTAAAAAGTTTCCTAAAATGAAAATTTTTCTATTTTAGAAATTAGTTTTCTAATTTGGAAGTTAGTTCCAAATTTGGAAGTAAAAAACCTAAAATGGAAATGAGTTTTCTAATTTAGGTTAAAGGGTATTTTGAAAATTTATTTCCTAATATAGACTCGCCTAAAATAATCTAAGATTATTTATTTGGATAGTTCAAATAAATTAATTAGGCTAAAATGATTTTGGCTCATTAGGTTTAATTAAAAACCTTAAGATATTTTGGTGAGAGGAAAAACATCAACCTTATTAGATAAGGATGAATGTTT